GAAAACAAACCAAATTTAGGTATGGTCCTTTATCCATTTTTAGTCAATTTTCGTAAGTGGTGAGAGATACAGATCTTGTCTCATTCTTCCACATGTGGCTATCCAGTTTTCCTTTTCAAAGAAGGGCTTTCTAAAATTTTTGTAATAGGCTTACTTATTTTTCCTAGAGCTTATCATTTTTGAACCTGTTGATAATTATTCTGTAAAATAAAAATCTAAGAATTAAACACCATATTAGATTCTCTAGAGAAATAATATTCAGTATGTAATCATTTAACTAAATAATTAATGTGTTCGTAGAAGTATGTAAAATTTGCAAGGCCATAAAAATTTTCACATTTCAAACTATGGTACACAAAACACTATTTTATGGAAAATAATTGGTGTCAAATTTCAAAAATGTTAATTAGTTTGGGCAGTGCTGATTAAACAAAATTAAACTGGAATTGTTATTGCAGAATTTCTCAGAAACTACAATATGTCAATGTGATAGTCATTTTCTGAACTTATTGGATCACAGAATTTGGTTATTGTGAAGTGAGATAGTAGTTTTCAAAACATTATATTAATAATTTGTAATAAATGTATTTATATGTAACATTGATGTTTCATTGACGTGTTAATGAAACAAACTAATTTTACACCAAGAAGGAAAGTAATAAAAGAAAAATGGAAAGCATATCTGGTGGTTAATAATTTATATTTTAGCATAGTTTAAAATTCACCAAGCATATCATCTATTATACATCTGCTTATTTGATTCAATACTTGCCAAATAAAGTGACCAGCCATCCCAGTGTGCCTGGATTGAAGAGGTTCCTGGGACTCAAAACTTATCATTGCAGAACTGGGACAGCCCCAGGCAAACTAGAGCAGCTAGTCACCCTCACCCAGAATGGTAGAGATCTGGATTCCAATTCCAATTTGTTCACCTATTTTGTGAACCACCCCCACTCCCCCCACCAACAAAGTAAAATAAAAATCTATAACTTGAACTTGTCACCTGTAAGATTGGGATAAAAATATTGTGGCATAGGACAATGTAAGGGTGTTCAGCATGCTCCCTGGGTGAAGGGCTCTCCTATAACTTGAACTTTACCTTAGAGTTGAAAGCGATGTAACCTAAACATTTGTACCCTCATACAATTTTCTAATAAAAAAGTAAAAGAAATATTGTGGCATAGGGTTTTTGTTTTTGTTTTTTAAGAATTTACTAAGACTCTGTAAAGTTGTTAAACTTCCGCATAAACTCCTTCATAAACCCTATTGTGGCAAAGGGTTTTTTTTTTTTAAGGATTTACTAAGACTCTGTATGTCTGTCCCACAGAGAACTAGGTAAACATAGATTCTTTTTTTTTTTTTCCTTACCTTCCTCGTCAACATAGACAGGAGAGGCATTGCCCTCCATGTTTCCCTAAGGAACCTTAGATACTAATACTTCAGTTAATTTACCCAAGGCAACAGAGCAGTCATTGGTAGAACTAGGCTTGAAGTCTGCCTTCTAATGCTAAATGCAATGCTTTCTAAACTGCACTCAACCAAATTCAAGTATCAGAACAAAATCTGGCAAGTGGCTATTCATAGGAAGTTGTATTTGTAAGACTTTCATAGTACCTAAAGTTTAGCAGTTCTTTGAGTGTTTTTTTCTTATTTTATCATGGTGGGATAGCATGTTTAGAAAAAGGTGTAACCATTATGATGATCCGTAAAATTTTATATCCCAGCTGGTTTATCCTCTTTTATATTCATTTAATTGGAGTTGTACATAAAATTTCTTTTTATTCCAACCTTTCGATGCCAGAAGACTGTTTTCTGGTATCAGTGACTGCAGTAATATATTACTCAATGTTTTTTCTGATGGCTATTGGACCTGACAAACATGTTTAAAATGCGTATTTTGTTTTACTTTTGAAAAGTAAATCTCAATAACTATACATTTAAAATGAAACAAAAAGCGCATTTGGAAAATGGACCATAAAACGATTTCCCAGATCTCTTCCTCATGTGTGGGTACGATGGGATTGTGACATGGCACCGCAAAGCAGAACGGCCCCTCACTGAAATGCAAATTTCCAACTCAGCTGAGGGAGTCACAGAACATAAACACTGGGGCAAAGATGAAGCTTTTGTTTTCAGAGAGAGAGATTGTTACATTGCCATCATGTTCCCTTCACATTAATTTACATCTAGTTAAATGAACAGAAGAATAAAACTGAAATATTTAACGATCCAATCAAAAATGTGAGCATATTTGTTTAGAAGAATAAATGAGCCATATATGCAGAACACAAACAAAAAGCAACTCTGGAAACAGGAGCAGTGGATTTTTTTCTCTCAGCCCCGAATTGTGTTTCTATGACTGTGACTTTTAATTCAAAATGGCAATAAATAGGCTTAGTCCTTGATTAGATTTGAGAATTCAGGGGTTGGGTGGGGAGGGCAGGGTGAAAGGATATTATTTCAGGCCAGCATGGTAGCTCATGCCTATGATCGTGGCATTCTGGGAGGCCTGAGGCAGGAAGATGGCTTGAGCTCAGGAGTTTGAGAACAGCCTGAGCAAGAGTGAGACCTCATTTCTACTAAAAATAAAAAAAATAGCTGGGTATTATGGTTGGTGCCTATACTCCCAGCTACTCAGAAGGCTGAGGCAAGAGTAACTCTTGAGTCCAAAAGACTTAGAGGTTTCTGTGAGCTATGGTGATGCCATGACACTCTACCCAGGACAACAGAATGAAACTCTGTCTCAAAAAAAAAAGAAAGGACTTGTTTTGTTTTGTTTTTATAGTATTCCCACGCTCTGAATCATATTTGCTATATGCTGCTTGAATCCAAATGCCTTTAGTATTTCAACCTTATTATATTTTTAAATGTAGTTAGCCGACATGTATAGACCTCTAAAGGAGCTAGGAGAAGGCTTTATAGATTTCTCCTGGTAATGTGAGCTGATTGACTCAAAGAAAATTTTGGCTTTTGGCTAATTTAATTTCTCAAGTGATTTGCATATTTTAAATATCCAGTTCATTCAATTTAGGTTCTATTTTCTTTTCAGAGACTTAGACATTATTGCAAAAAGTATGTTGGCAATGAACTGATTATAAGATGGGAAATTAATCAATGTTTTGTTTTCTCTGGGAGGTTAGAAGTAAACAAACAAGTAGGGCAGATTTATCCTGATGTGATTTTTTTTTTATTTGTTCCAAAATGTCTTTTCTTAAGTAGATGTGATTAAAATAATCCATTTGGTATAACACTTACAATACAGTGCATGGATCTTATAGAATATTATATTTGTAAAGAAATGTTTGTGGTAGGACATGTTAGATCAGTTGGGTTTCTAATAGAGATGATCTAATAGAGAGAGAAAAGAGGCTGGTGAGGGGTACTGAAGATGTGTCACTGCAGACACAGTGTCCTTGAGAAGATTAGAGAAACAAGATCAGTGTGTTGCCAAAGAGGTTGTTGAGAGGGTGCCTGGCCACCCCTGCATTGTTATCTCAGGAGGAAAGAGAGGATGGGAAGGGAACTTAGTGGTTTTATGGTTGAAAGCAAAGGGGACCCATTAGGATGGTTTCTGCTTTCTCCATGAGGCAAGGTTTTTTAACAGGAACTTACAAGAAGGGAAGTGTATATAGGTGTAGGTGTTTAGAGAAGATTAAAAAAAAAGATGTGAAATGATTTTGAGCATGGAAGAGCTCAGTTACTAAAGGATGAAGAAGGATTCTTTAGCAACACTGAGTGCCTGTTTGGGGTCTGCGGTCAAGCATTTAGAGCATCACAAAATCAGTTGGGTACAGTAATTCTTCTTCTTCCCCAGCTTCACTGTACTTCTGGTAATTCCGAAATATTCAACACCAGAAATTCCCTCAGCATTCAGTCAAGCTTTAATGTCAAACTGTGATGTATTAGGAACAGTATCACATTTATTATTAGCAGTATCCCATTTGACAGATGGCAGGATAGATACATGCACATAAAAATACTCTCCCCCAGCCGGGCGCGGTGGCTCACACCTGTAATCCCAGCTCCGTGGGAGGCTGAGGAGGGAGAATTGCTTGAGCTCAGGAGTTTGGGACTTGCCTGACTGACAGTGAGACCCTGAATCCTAAAAAGAAAAAAAAAAAAGAAATACCCAGCCATGTTCATGGTAAGCACCTGTAATCCCAGCAGCTTCTAGAGTCTAAGGCAGCAGGATGCCCACAGCCCAAGTCTGAGTTTGCAATGAGCTATGATGCATTGCACTCTGGTCAGGGCAAGGGTGGGACTCTGTCTCAACTACAGTAAAAAAAAAAAGAAAAAAGAAAAAATACTTTCACCCGACACTGACAATGCTTTGTCCATAGTTAGTGTTACTATGCTTGGCCCCAGGTTCTGTAATAACCGTGTTGTCCCCCTGGGATGAGAATCCCGTAAGTTGGGAACCAATGGTTATTACAGACTATGGAAGCATGAAGGGGGCACAGACATCAAGAAGTTTTATGGTTCTTCTAGTTGATTCCCAGCATCATCCGGGGGAACTTAAAGAAATATTCCTACAACTAGTGCAGCTCTACGTGAGCATCACCAAGGTTGAATTAGAGATGAAGGATCCAAAAACTAATCTGAGCTCCCTCCACATTGACGAATGTATCATTAAACAGTGAGGAAATATTTCTTCGCTAATTTGATAGTTTTTTGTATCATCCGGGTAGGCCATAAGTGATTCTCTAATGAGAGACAGGTTAGAAAAAAAAAAAATCATAGAATTATAATGAAAAGGTCTTGCTGAAATAGATGTGATATTTAACATAATACCACATTTTTAGAGCCTAGAGCACATTCTATAGTCCAAAAATTCTGTATTTCTTCTCTTTGATTGTTAGATTTCTAGATGTAGAAATTGATCTTAAGTTCCCGGAATTAATTATGGACTTGTGTGGTGGGTGACTGCAGTCTGGTTTACCAGTGTGCTGTGCGTTTCTAATTTTCTCCCCTTCTTATGAAACACGTGTGATCCTTTTCAGTACACTTCTGCGCTGACCTATGATGCCGTTCAAGTGATGACTGAAGCTTTCCGCAACCTACGAAAGCAGAGAATTGAAATCTCCCGAAGGGGGAATGCAGGAGACTGTCTGGCAAACCCAGCCGTCCCTTGGGGACAAGGTGTAGAAATAGAAAGGGCCCTGAAACAGGTCAGTCACTCCAAATGATCGTTAATGTGACTTAACATGGCCGTTAATTTTTGTCCTGCCAAATTAGTCACCCTTGTCTCATTCCTTATGTTTAATATACAGGCAGTGTTATTTCCTGACAACACAAAGGTAGGTTAAAGAGGGAAATAAACCTTGTCAAGGTAGTTTTCGTGACTTGAGCCCAGGGCAAGTGATCTGTACAGTTTGTAAAATTGCTTGAAGTACATTCGTAACTCCTTTTCCATTTCCTCATTAGGTTCAGGTTGAAGGTCTCTCGGGAAATATAAAGTTTGACCAGAATGGCAAAAGAATAAACTATACAATTAACATCATGGAGCTCAAAACTAATGGGCCCCGGAAGGTAAATCCTTAGTGATTTAAAGGCAATTTTCTCTATGTGAGGAGGTGAGTGAGCTGTTATTATCATCTCACTCAAGAGTTCTGGAGTGTGTCTTCACATAGAGTCTAACTACCAGAAACACATAGATTTTTGAATGTTTTTCTAAATCAAATCTAATTCTGGTAAGTGATACTGAGCTGTCATCTACAAAATTACTGTAAGTAGAAGTATTACAGATTTTTTCTATGGAAATAGAAAAAGTCTTTAATTAAGGAGAAGAAAAAGAACTATCACTAAAGGTTTATAGTTTAGAGGACAAAAAAAATACCTGGTACAAACAGACATGTAACTACTCAGTTCAACGTATCTGCCTTTTAATTGTTTATGGTTAAAATTTTGTGGTTTAGATTTTATCTATATTTCTAAATTATTACTTCCAAACAATTACTCTTGGCAACTATGAAATGTGAACACGAAGAGATAACCATTCTTACGAATTTTAATAGCTCCTTTCAATGCCTATTGGATTCACATGTACAAAAGACACGTCTTTGTTTAGAAGTAGCCCAATTAATGTGGGTCTAATTTCAGATTCAGATGTGAATTTGCAATTAATTAAATAGTGTCTGGTAGAAAGGTCACTTATCTGTGTGTCTATCTGCTGTGACCTTTTTCAGATTGGCTACTGGAGTGAAGTGGACAAAATGGTTGTGACTCTTACAGAACTTCCATCTGGAAATGACACCTCTGGGCTTGAGAATAAGACTGTCGTTGTCACTACAATTTTGGTAATTAGCTATATATGCCTATTTTTTACTTTATATTTTCTTAACGGAAGCTATCTGTCAAGGGAAATAGCTGTTTCTATTTTAGCACAATAACTAATTCTGTGCTGCTTTTGCAGGGTTTTAATCATTTGTTGCATACTTATTCTGTTAAAAGGAATACAAAAAAAATCTAGCTGAAGCATACAAAATGTTCCCTGTTCTTTTCAAGACTGAAATTCAGCTTGACAGACAATTCATACTGTGGTGCATATATTGGCAAACAATTGGGGAAAGTCTGGACAAGATTTCCTCATAGTCCCTCAGGGGCCTCCTTTTCCATTCCCACTGAATTCTGGGTAAACTCTACCTGTCCATTTATTCCAGGATTACCTACTGAGGTCAGCTTGTCTTTCTTCACAAGAAAAGATCATCTCAATTTTGTGCCCTCATAATAATTTGAATCATATTTTAAAAAAAAAATCATCTCTTTAAGACAAAGATGATTTCCTTCTTTTTACCCCAAGTTTTAACATCATGGTTGGCACACAGCTAGTGCAAAATCAATGTATATTGAATGAATGAACCAACATTGAACTTTTTCTTAAACGTCTAGGCTTTGGATAACTGGACAGAGACATGCATCATTGCAACAACCACGTCATCATAGGATGTGATTTTGTGACAAACAATTTGTTTTGTTTTACAAATTTATCTTAGCAGTGGACTTTATAATTTTGTGGGCTTCATTGTCCTAACAATACTGCGATGCAAATATAGATAGATTAATAAGAAACTTAGATAAAAAAAAAATCAATAGGCACTTGGAAATCTCTTAATGAGCACAAGTTAGATACTCTTGCCTTTATTATTCCATTGATAAGAATTATCTCACTAGAACCTCAAATATCCTTGGTGACACCTTACAACAGAGAATACTGGACTGTGTTAACTCATTTATTCATGCTTTCTCTTTCTATGTTTATGGGGGAAAGTACTCTCCAACTTTCCTGTGGCATCACTCTAGACTATTGTATCCCATAGACAGAGTGAGACCTGAAGCCTGTGGGAGTAGAGTCAGTGCATTACCACAGCAGTGATCCTTTCAGTCTGTGTGTAACTGACCATGAACATCATTTCCACATGAACCTTAGCCTTGACCAGTGACCACATGGTTTTGGGTTAATGCGTGAGCCAACCCTTGGGGTCACTGTAAACTTAATCAACCTTAATTGAATAAGGTTGTGGTGAATCCAAGGTTTAATAAGATAGATGTAGAGCAGCAGTCTCCTGCTGTAAGGTATGGCTGGGTATGAGCCATATTAATGAGATAAAATGATAGACATTTGAAAATGTTTTGGGGGAAGCAGGTAATTGTCAAATCATATGGCTAATAGGTAGTTATTAAATAATGTGATATGATTCAATGAGAGTATATATTCAACACAGATATTTTAATCAGCACAGTCTTTCCATATAGGAATCCCCATATGTTATGATGAAGAAAAATCATGAGATGCTTGAAGGCAATGAGCGCTATGAGGGCTACTGTGTTGACTTGGCTGCAGAAATCGCCAAACATTGTGGGTTCAAGTACAAGCTGACAATTGTTGGGGATGGCAAGTATGGGGCCAGGGATGCAGACACGAAAATTTGGAATGGGATGGTTGGAGAACTTGTATATGGGGTAAGTAATGCTGTTCTCATAGATAAGTCATTCAATTTGAACTGTTGTTGATAGAATGTCTCCCCTCCCCGGAAAAAGTATCTGTGTCTGAGGTTGTTGATTTCCCACATGACTCCAGGAATACTATCTTGTTTATCTGTGAACATTTAAAAGCCTGAAGTTGAAGCCAGCAGTAAGCATGTGGATTAAGTGAGACAGACATTTCATCTGTCTTGAAGCGTCTGGGCCATATGTATGACCAAGGGCTGCAGAAGCACAGAAGCAGTGTAGATGTGTGATTATCATAGTAAAGCCAAGTGTATACACTAGGTATCTATAAAGAGGAGGACATTTGGGGAACAAATTGCTTTTCTGTTCATTCTTTACTAAGACTCTACCAGGGAAACAGTTGTTTTCATTTCTCTGATTTCTGTCCCTTCCCCTGTGATCCAGTGATGTAACCATGATTCCTTCCTGACCTTGACTCCGGGTTCCATTACTTTTCTTTGTTTCCCTTACAGAAAGCTGACATTGCAATTGCTCCATTAACTATAACCCTTGTGAGAGAAGAGGTGATTGACTTCTCAAAGCCCTTTATGAGCCTCGGGATATCTATCATGATCAAGAAGCCTCAGAAGTCCAAACCGGGAGTGTTTTCATTTCTTGATCCTTTAGCCTATGAGATCTGGATGTGCATTGTTTTTGCCTACATTGGGGTCAGTGTAGTTTTATTCCTGGTGAGCAGATTTAGCCCCTACGAGTGGCACACTGAGGAGTTTGAAGATGGAAGAGAAACACAAAGTAGTGAATCAACTAATGAATTTGGGATTTTTAATAGTCTCTGGTTTTCCTTGGGTGCCTTTATGCAGCAAGGATGCGATATTTCGCCAAGGTTGGTTACTCACCTGCTTTAACTTTGTGCATTTTAGGTCTCATGTGGATATTCATGGTGTTTATGAATTCACTCTAAAGAAGGAACCAGCTGCCGACCGCCTGTCCAAGGAGTTTAAGACTCCTACAGGACATGCTCTTCCCATCGGCATAAGCCTGAGAAATGTGTGAACAATGTTCTTCGAATGTTGATCACGTATTTCCCTGGTGAAATTATACACACCATGGAGAGGCTATAAAATGCATAAGGTTCCTATCATTCCATGCCTTCTTGGAGGGGTACCGTGTTTTTGCTGCATATTCTCATTTTACAGTCATCTGTGTGTTAATCCACAGAACTGTATATGGGAAAATGGGCAATATTATTTATTAATTGCAGAAGCAATACCTTGTGAGACAGAAATTCATTGGCACACATCCCATCTCTTTTATTTTTTTTTAACATTACATCATGGAAATGGTATGGGGGAGATATTATAAATTTTATTTTTTTAAGGTTAGGTTGCTAGATTCAAAGGAGTATATTATAACATTTTCCAACTATCTAGAAGTACATGGAAGGGATTAATGGTTCATTACAAAATCCTGTGCCCTATTGAATGATAAACACATCCATCACAGAATAAACTCATGTCACCGTATGCCTACTTACAATCAATCTGTCACAAAGCACATGTTCCTTTTGTTCATATGACTTACATAAATAGGAATGATAGATTTCTGCAGAGAAATAAATCATGCTTTTCCTAATGATTACTTTAACATTTTAAGCAAAAGAGATTATCATTCTACTGGCATATTCTAATTTGAGCTCCATTCCCCATCTTTGATTCTATGGAATAGCATACTGAGTAGTGAAAGGGTGCCTTTTCTTATACTATTTCATTACATTGTTCATTTTTGAGCCCTTTTAGGTATAGCAAGTGATGAATTTTTAAAAAAAATTATATAAGAAGCTGAATGATTTGTGTGTTTTGCAGTCTTTTTAGCATAGTCCATCTAGTGAGACAAAGGAAATACAGCATGCAGGCAGAAATTATCAGTGGCTTACTTGTCTGATAGTAAGTAGTTATAGTGGCAATGGTAATAAAAATCACATTTTCATGAATTGAATGGATCTAAAAAATATTGTGTCCATCAGATTCCCTGTGGCTTCTCCATGAGCCTGCACTGAATTAGAGATATGGCAGTGATATTTGCATAGCCTGGCATATATGTGTGTGTGTATGCCTCTGAACAAAATGTATAAGACTCATAGCTTCATCTCTATATTTAGTTAATATTATTTAAGTTAAAAATATGAAGAGAAGTTTCTATAAATAAGGAAGATAAAACTAACAAAACTGGGGTCACAGGAAGTGTTCTCATCCATGAAAGAATAAAGAAATGGTTCACATTTGGCAAAAAGGCCATTGAAGTATATTGTTACCCTAAAAGGTAAACAGTTATTGTGGGATAACATATGCTCTGCCCTTCCTCTTGAGTAAGCTGGGAGAGGTGTATGGGCGTTCACTATGAACTACGACATATTGGCCTAGGTTCCTGCCAGTAGTCCCTCAGGTCAAGTCCTGCTCCCAAACATTGCAGGGAGTTTGGGGATCCAGGGGTGGTCAAGGAGTGGGAAACTTATTTGCTCATAGGGACTATAGTGTAAGGTACATTCAAAAATCAACCCAGGGCCCACCAGGACACACAGACTTCTCATTTTCATCAAAGGTGTGTCTAAAACAAGATCTTTTTTCTGTGCTTTTGATTTTACTCATGTCATAATTCACTACAATTTCACATGTAGTAACTTTTATTTCCTGGTAGTATAAACAGATCTTATATAGCACTTTTTTTTCTTGTTTTTTTGTTTGTTTTGTATTTGGGGAGGGGGGTTGTTTTGAGACAGAGTCTCAGTCACCCTGTGTAGAGTGCTGTCACATCACAGCTCACAGCAACCTCAAACTCTTGGGCTCAAGCGATCCTATGGACTCAGCCTCCCAAGTCCCTGGAACTACAGGTGACTGCCAAAATGCCCAGCTAGTTATTAAATTTTTGGTAGAGGCTCGCTCTTGCTCAGGCTGGTCTCTAACTCCTGAGCTCAGGCAATCTACCTGCTTCAGCCTCCCAGAGTTCTGGAGATGACAGGTGTAAGTCACTGTGCTGGGCTTTTTTCCTTGTTATTGATTGATATTTTTTGCCTCAGCATAGATCTGAGAAAATTTTACTTTATTAAACAAATGAAGTGGTACATATCTCTTACTATATGTTATATGTGCACATTGAAAAATGAACATAATACATATACATAGTACTGGAAAATGTATTAATTTGTTAAAATGAACAAACTATTATTTCTTTAGAATAAAATATGGTCAGTCTAGTTAAGGTGAATAGAGAAGCTTATTATCTTCCAAAAAAAAAAAAAAAATCTTGAAAGGCACAGATAACTTTAGAAATGTTCTTTGAATATTTAAAAAATAATTACCATCCTTTTCCAAGCAACATATGAATTGGAACTATATTATTAATGTTGATAGAATACATTTAAGTTATGATTTAGAATGATTTATTAAAATAACTTAATTGCATGAGATTAAGTTTAAACCTTATCCTTATAAGATATAAATTTCCTAAAGAATATAATTACAGAAATTATGAAGTAAATATAACATAAAGATTATTTTTATTCTCCTACTTGATCCTGGATTTTCCCCAGTAACTCAAAGGATTCAAATAAATGTACAATGTACATTATTTTTTTAAAAAATTATTAAATAGGAATTTAAAAGCAATAATAGCATATACACATTTATTTACTCCTTCATTACAGATGCTTGTAGGTGAAAGTTTCGTTTTTAATTATAGAAGTCATTTTGTCTGTAAGTCTAAAATAGAATTTGTTCCTTTCCATACAATTTCTCAAGAATCCCTTCAGAAGCATTAACGGATAAAACAGCTAACAGTAAAGGATAAGTTGCTTAAATATTTTTCACATTTGGATGACTTGTAAGTCCAATGATGTTTTTGAGACATCATGCACACTTTAAATCAATTACTCTATTTAATTGAGATAAGCACAGGAATAGAGGACAAGTTATAGCTTTAACTTTTTAAATTTTTACAACCCGAATAGAGTGACATAAAAATGACTCTGAAACATATGGCAAATTAACACACCGTGTGTAAAATCAAAAGCCATTACTATGCAATCAGCTTTTGTTTTAAGGAATTTGAGCAGTTAGGCACTGAATCCACCTGCTTACATATAGGGTGTATGTCATCAAATTATACCTCCTGTTGTTATGAAACAAATAGTGAGCATCTCAAGAGTACCTTTTCCTACAGAAGGAGTTTTCCAAATGTAAAATGCATTTAATATCCTTGTGAGAATGTAAGTGAGAAGGGTTTAATTTTGTCCATTCTATCATATTTAATTCTTAGCATCTTCTAGAGACTTTATGATAAAGATTCTTAGTTGTATTATTTTTGTTTCTTATTGGTATTTCTCTCCCTCTTTCTCTCTCACAAACTGATGTTTTGAATCTAAAAGAGCCTTTCCTTTTAAATTAGCTTCCCTCCTTTTTTGACTACTTGAGTGCTTTAATCTACAAATATTTCCCAAGACTTTGATATGGTATCTGTTTCATCAAAGGTGACCGTCTCACTGTTGTCAGGATCTTTAGGTTATAAACTGCCAAATTTTCATGTTTCACATTTTTAAAAATGTCATTTCTTCACCCTAGCAAGTCTAATTGATAGATACAGCAGAGTTATTGCAACAAATAAAATAGTTATTTTATCGGTTTGTTAACATTTCTAAAACATTTCCAAATAGTACAGTGCATATATATTATATACGTATCTTTTTTGTATCTATCTACTTCGGGCTTTAACATAAATTATTGAGAATCTATTAAGCTTCTTAAAAGTATTTTACATAAGACTTTATAGTCATGGAATTATTTTATTTTATTTCAAACTAGAAAGTTTTCTCTTGACCAACTTTTAAATGTCTAATTTATTTTCCTTGAGTTTTCTTTCATTTAAGCAGGAGGCACTAATGAACAAGGTCATAGCCATCCATGCAGTGACGCCATCTGAGTTTTCCTCATTAACAGTTATATTTTGTGTCATGTCTTTTTTTACAGTATCATTGTGTTCTCATTTTCTCTCCTGTACTTTGTCTGATGCCTATGTTTTGCACTCAAAAAAACTGATGAAATTTTGGGCCTTTTTTGAGGGTTTTGGAACTTTACTGGATGAATTAAATGGCGGGTTGCTTTACTGCTTAAAACTACATCTGTGATGAATCGTCCTTTTCCCCTTAATATTTGATTTTGTTTGTAAAACATTGCTATGAGTTTTTCTGGGGATCTTAGGTTCTCCTGCTCATGTTTACATGAGTCAGGAGTGGGTAAATTAATATAAGGATTGGATAGATTATTTGTACATTTCTTGAAATCTCTTTGTTATGAGATTTCATATCACAAACTGTCTGGGCATTATATCCATGAAAGAATGCCAGGAAACTGAAGTTTTGGGCTCTGGGTATGTCATGGAATCTAATTAATCTGTACTCTTCGCCCAAAATGTCTAATGATTTCTGGTGTCATTAACATACAGATGTACGGAAAGTATAAAGTTAAATACTCCCTGTAAGTCAATATTTGCATAATACTGCTAACTTGTTCTTTTTATTAGGTCATTCATTTCACTTTACAAATCCATTTCATACTTGTTATTAGATCCCTCTCTGGGCGCATTGTTGGAGGTGTGTGGTGGTTCTTTACCCTGATCATAATCTCCTCCTACACGGCTAACTTAGCTGCCTTCCTGACTGTAGAGAGGATGGTGTCTCCCATCGAAAGTGCTGAGGATCTTTCTAAGCAAACAGAAATTGCTTATGGAACATTAGACTCTGGCTCCACTAAAGAGTTTTTCAGGGTAAGAGATTCTGCTTTGTAGCCTCGAATTCTGTTCTTAAATTGTAACCTGTTTTAAATGTTGTGCCTCATGGTCTATGCAAAGGTGCTGTAGGAAAGTCACCTCCAGCCCTCCAGCTCTGTCTAGAGTTAGAACTCTGTCTCTCCGTGTTTCTACTCATGACCCTGACTCTATCCCTGACCCTTCCCCACTCCGAACCATAGCTCTACCTCTGTTTTCTGATTCATACTTCTTTAGGAGAAAAATCATGATGTTGTCATGAAATCTCAGGATCGTAAAAGCTGAATGTTCTTTAGGAACAAAATTGAAGCAAAGGGCAGTTCAGATTTGATTCTTATTTTTTTAAACAAAAGGTACTGGTTTTGTTTTATCTTAAATGAATATGATTTCATTTGTCTCAACTAGTTTATAAGTGTTCAAACCAGTTATGTTAATTCTATGTCAGGAAGCAGATTATATTCTTATGTGTAAATTCTGAATTTTGTGTTCAAACTCTCCAAAGAAAGGCTAACAAAAGCTTTCTACTTCCTAACTTCTAAAATAGGTAGCATAATTATACTGTCTCTATTAGATGTAGGTTAATTTTCTTTTAATTTGTGGCCTCATGCTCTCTATTTTTAGGACAAGCCCAAGAGCCTTATGCTGGCATAATTTCACTATTATCTGTGTAGAAGAACTTGTGTTATTAAAATGTTTAAATACGGTTGATGATTATCTGTCTAAAGTCAATATCTGTGACACATGACGATATCTGGCAACCACTAATATGTTTTAATGTATCTGAGTTTGAGTGAGATCTAGGCCAGTTTATTCCATAATTAGGTTTAGGACCTCCCACTCGCCAAGTGTTGAAGTAGTTGATTGTAATTTGGAAGCTGTCTTATACTACACTGCCTCTTATCTCTTTTCCAAATGACTTCGGTTGGGCTGAAGATATTAGGACAGAAAAACCGCTGGGGCTGGAACCATAGTCACGGACAGTAACCGGGATGGGCATGGGGCGTGCAGGACAATGACAAACTCATTAGGTGTCTCAGTTTAAATGCAGAACGGTTGTCTGAGTATCAGCAGCTTTTTGGCTTTAATGCAAATCTAAGTATGAACGTTATAATATGGATTTGCTACTACTGAAAACTGATTATCATGCCTGGGCATGTATGTAATGTGTGTATGAATACTGTTGATATAACACAGTGCTCTTGCTTCATCACAACAATGGATTTATTAAAATACATTAAAATAGTGTATATTTCTCAATTAGAAGTGTATTTAGAAGCATTTTTATTATTTGTACACAAGGGGGTTTGCTTTCATCTTTATCTGGAAAAGTATGGTGCTCCCTCTTGAAGTGAATCAGATCAATGAAAATGATGCAGAAGATTGTTATAACATGATTTACTTAGTTGATTAAAACTATATATATATATCTTTTTTTTTTTTTTGCAGTTTTTGACCAGGGCTGGGTTTGAACCCACCACCTCCAGCATATGGGGCCAGTGCCCTACTCCTTTGAGCCACAGGCACCGCCCTAAAGCAATCTTTTAATTGTTTCCAGACACTCTCTTCCAGTTGAGTCATCTGTTAAGCACTGAAGTTATCACCTTACTTAGACAACAATGCTGCCAACTGTTTTCACTGCTACACATTCACATTTACAGGGTTTTCCTGTATATCTTAACTATGTCAGCACCAATCACAGTAATATATGTGTCTTCATCTCCAAGATGCCAGGATTTCATGGTCCGTGTATTCACATCCCTAATAGAGAAGATAAGAAAGCTCGATGAATCTGGGAAAACAGTGTTCTCGCAGTGTTCTAAGCCTAGCAGGACCATCTGTTCTAATAGGTCGTTGAGGACGTTTTGTAAAGGTGTAGAGATTTCCTTCCCTAACATAATAGAGAAGTGGTGACGGGTAGTAAGGTGAACTGATCACTTCTATCAGAACAGCTTCCCAAGGCAGTTTGTTAAACATTATCTCTTTGACTCTCACAATATTTCTGTCTGATCATCAGACAATGAGTTCTGTTTGATTTCTAGGCATTATTAAACTGAAACTCAGATAATTTGGTGGATAATAAGTATGCTAAGGTGTCTTACTCCTAACTGGGGTTCCTTATATGCATTGTTTTTCCTTAAGGTCTCCGGATCTATTTCGCTGTTTTCCTGCTGTGTTCTTAGTCTCATCCAGGTTTGCTTAAGTAATGTTAGAGCATCAGTGAAGGGTGGAACATAGCAGGTCCTCACACCTCCTCTCAAAGTAGCTCCCACAGAACCCGCTGATACACGTCCGTTAGTCTCATACAGTGCTGCAGTCAGCCTCTCCTCATCTAGACAAGAAAAGTATGGGTTCAAAAGTATTTGAAAGCCACACTGTTTATTCTGTTTGTACCAGAAAAGGGTTGCTAATGTAACAGCACATATCACCACAGAAAGGAACCCATCGTGTTAATTCTTCCATTGAAACATATAATGTAGTTGCAATTGGGAAAATTAGGTCTACAAAAGTTGCGTTTTTTCAAGTTAGATTAAATAAAAAGATATTCGAGAGTCATTTTGAGCAATTTTTCTAACTGTCTAAATATTTGCTATTTGGGTGGCCATGATGATAATAGTAAGGAAAATTATTTTTCCTGTTCACTCTCCAAATGTTTCCTGGGATGCTGTGGCTTTCCAGTTGTATTCATCAAGTCTCGCGCCTTTCTATATAGAGTTATCATATTA